TTTAGAGTGGCAGTCTGGTCTTATTGCACTTTGCAGATGACGCATTTCTTTACAAGGTAAAGGCTGCTGGCAACCCCGCTGAGCAATCCTACCAACACCATTTTTTGCTAAATGGTGTATTCTGTTTCATGTCACACTTCATTAAGTCACATGCATTGTTTTATCAGGCAAATTGCTGTTGTAGTCTTAAGAAGCTACATCATAGTATAAACATAACTTTAATATGCCCTGGAAAGCCCAAAACCCTTGTGTTTTTATCAGGCAAATTGCTATTGTAGTCTTAAGAAGCTAAATCATAGTATAAACATAACTTTCATATGCCCTGGAAAACCCAAAACTCTTGTGACTCACTTTTCTGTGACATGGTTTTATTGCTCTGTGACTCACATTATTCAAATGGGACGATCTGGGTCCAATCCCCCAATCTCGCCAGGTGTGCCTGGTTCAGAGCTTCCACCTGGTATTTCACCCGAGGAAAGGCCTTGCCCCGGGCTTCCTGTGCCAGCTGGTAGCCATGTGGCTTTAGGTAAGTTACCTCATCTCCAGGCTTCTGTTACTGAGTCTATAAAAGATCTACTGCCCAGGTCTTTGTGAAGATTAAATGAGTTAATATGTGTAAAGTACTTTACAGGTATGTAGACTACAGTAAACATTATGTAAATTTAGCTATGATGATGACAATAGCTTTCAAAGAAAAATCTTGACTTTGTGCTCTTTTTCTTTGCTTCCCTTCTCCACCTCCTTTTCTGAGAGTTTTCCTGGCCCCATTAATGTCTCACTTTCCCTGCTGGCCCTCCTTGGCCAAAGTCAGTCACCAGTAATCATCTATCTGGCAGAGGGCTGGTGACTTGAGGTTTTAAAAGCAAGATTCTTGGAGTCACCAATTTGTTACTGTCTTTTAGACTTTAGAAGAAAAGCCACACTGAGCATTCTAGACTAGTAGTGTAGACCCCTCTCCAGTTCTTAAGCAATTCCCCTCCCCTACTGTTACAGGGCACCCCAGTGTGAACTGGGCTGCCCGTCTGTGGGTCCTCACCCACGTGCTTAAAATTTAGTTCTACTACAGACACACACAAAAGGGTCAATAATGGGTGTATTTACAAAAGGGGAAAGGAAAACCTTGGGAAAGAGAGAGAGAGATACAAGGTAACTAGAATATCTTACTGGATAGTCTGACTTGGAGCTCTAGTAATTAACTGACAGCCCCCAGTCACATGGTCTGAGAGCTGTTGCCGGAGAGAGTGCATTGGAAAATGGCTCCCTATTTATCTCCCAAAGTCCCAGAATGCCTGCTTAGCTCCGCCCCTGAGTACTTGCAGTTCTCTCTTTGGTGCTGCTGGGAGTTGTAGTTTCCAGTCACTGGAGTAGGGGGTGGAGTCCAGAGAGCAGGAGTAGAGGGTGGAGTCCACAAAACTCTGCAGAGTTACTTTAGGACATCCTTTCCCTTAATAAAGGGACCCCTCAGGTACCCCTTTCCAAACTCCCCTCCCCCTTTAAATTTTAGGGCTAGAACTCTTTTTTCCTCTTAAAAAGGCATTCACTCTCCAGGTCCGTCTATCCAAAACCTCCTGTTCTTCCTTTTGACTCTGTCTACAGGTAAAGTCTATAGACAGTTTGTCCAAGGCTGTGGTGCTCCACCTGCCTCTTCCAGCCCCCTCATTTCACCCTCCCTGAGAGCACTTGGGTGATGTCTGGGGCCACCTTTGCTAAGGGGCTGGGGCTAAAGGGCCTATTCTGGAAGGGCACATTGCACAAACATCCCCTCAGGAAGTGAAGCAACCATGGTTCTCCTAACTCCATCTAGGTGAACCCCATGTAATCAGAATTCAGATGGGGTATATCTGAATTGTAGTGAGTTCACATTTATGGAAATCTTGAAAAAAAGGACCGTTCAGTTATAGAGTGGAGCAAGCGAGATGGAAAGGCTTTTGTTTAGCCTACGTAAGAGCAAAAGTGCTAGTGAGACTACTGTGCAACTGCTTGTATGTAAATAGCTTGTGTTAATTGCAAGTGAATCTAATCTATTCTTTGATGTAGACCCCAGGGGGTATTTAGGTGCAAATACTTTGCTACATGTTATTGGAAAGCAATGCAGTTCAGTTCTCTCCAAATATTTTTAATGCAGACTTGTCTCTACATTAAGTGAGGAGAGATGGAGTTGATCTAAAACCTTGTCACTCCAGAAATCAGCCTTATCAAGAACTTTTGGTTCCAGACGGCTTAGGGAATGAATGATCTGCTCCAGCAAGGACTTTAGGAAGTGGGAGGGAAGAACTGTGACATTCCATCACCACCTGGAGTGACTGGGTGGTGGGGAGACTTCATTTGGACTGGATGGTCCAAGCAGAGGCCCCACTCAGAGGACAGTGGGCACAGCACTGGACATGGAGCTGTGGGCAGCTTGCCCACCATGGATGCAGTCCACATTCTTGGAATCTGGGGAACCAGGTCAGTGATGGGAAGTGCCTGTAATAACAAAATGCCCCTGAGTAGACAAAGGTCCAACAGTTTTCTGTGGAGCTTTCACAGCAATAGTTTCCTCAGACCTTGGCAAGTCCTCTGTGAGGAAAGCAGAGGAGGCAAGACAAGGAAGGGAGGGAAGGAAAACCAGCTACGTCTTCAAACCAGGTCTACCCTACCCCAATATGTGTAGCGCACATTTATAGGAGCAGCACAACATGATAGCAGGAGGCTCTCACTGTGCTCATTTGGCTGGACCCACAAGACTCCTCAAGGAGACCACACAGCACTAGCCACAGTCCATTTCAGAAAACCCACACTGACCACTGAGCCGACTCTTACCCTTCAGGTTATGAGGTGGAGAAACTAAGGGGGGGCTGTAGAGGTGGGGTGGCCGTTCAGAAAGAGTTGTAGGTGGGCTGAGAGGACTTCCTTCTTTTTGGCTGAGTTTAAGCCAAGGCTAGTGATTAGGACTTCAGCAGGGCTATTTGGAGAGGAGAATGTGTCTACCTCATTGAAGATACAACATTCTGCCCCACCCAGGAAAATCACAGGGATGAGAGGTGATTGGTGGCCACTGATGGCAGAGATGTGTCCTGAATGCCCAGAGTTTGTCCAAGTAAAAAAGGTTGGATGACCAGATCCGAAAGGATACAGAGTGAGAGGTAAAGGGACTGAGAAATGACCCACACAAGTGCCCCTGAGGAAAGAGTGCAAACACTAGCTTGTCCACCGTTCAGACACCCCCCTGCACAGCACCCTCCAGGAGGAAGCAGCTTGCCCCAGCACCTCCTTTCCAACCTGGGGAGTCAGAGCAGAGTGAGCCAGGGTGGAGAGCAAGTGTGAGGCAGTGGCATCCACAGGAAAGGGACACTAGGGGCCTGGCGCGTCTATGCTTGTCACACTGTTACGGAGGAAGGAAGGTGCCCAGGAGTGAGGCTGTAGAGTGGCCTTCATCACACACGCACACACCACACACACACACATGTCCACACATGTGCTCATGCACACACACACACACCGACTCTCCCTCACTTGGTTCTCCCTGGAATAGCACTGAGCTGGGGGATGGGACGAGACTCAATTTTAAGTTGGACATTTGGACCTTTGTGTAAAAGGTGGACATGTCCATTATAGACTGCAAGTGATATTATGACTTAAAGTGTTTGAACATTTGTATTCCCTGCATGCAGAAGAATTGTGAGATTGGCCATTTTTTTTTTTTTAATCCAGAGATGGGGAAGAACTGGTTCCACAGAAAAAGATACAAATCAAGCTGTTTAAGGAAGAATCGCTCCTTACCTCCCCCAACCCCAGTCTTGCTTGTTCAACATGATGGTCTCAATCACCCTTCAGCGCCAGAGTCGAGAAGTGTACACATTATCTCATGTGGTTCTCATAGTAGTCTGCAAGGCAGGTATTATCACACTTCCTGTTTGACATTTGAGGAAACCGAGGCCCAGAGAGATGAAATAAGGCGCCTGAGTGCGTCAGAGACGATGCCGGCATGCAGGTCCAGGCAGGCTGCCTGAGGAGCCTGTGCTTGGAAGCTCTGCCTCCCTCATAGGGTCTCGGGAGCTTGCCTCAGTGTCCTGAAACCTCACAGGAATGCACACCCATGTGGGGCAAAGGGCACAGGTGACGAAGCAGGGGCAGAGACAGTGATCCTGCAGGGCCATCCTGCAGGAAGTCTTCAGTCTGGCCGCCTCTGGCTCAGTCCCACCCTCTTGCGGGAAAGTGAGAAGTTTGGTACTGAGTTACGCTGCATCTTGCTGTGCTTGTTGATCATTGGTGTATGTGTGTGTGTGTGTGTGTGCACGTGCATGGACGCATCCCCATCAAGATGGCGTCTCTCCCTACAGAACAACGTCACCTTCTGCTCAGGTTTCCAGGTCTCAGCTGTGTTGTCACAGGCTGGGGCACTGGTGGGCTCTTGGCAAAGCCTTCTCTGTAACGTGTTGAAGAGAGTTGTGTACCTTTTCACAGGGGCTTATAAATGCCCTCCTGATGTACTTCTGAACAGAAATACCACTGGCTTTGTTGAAGCTGGGGAAAGGATGGATTATTTAGTAAGCAACTGTCACAATCAGTTTGCTGTGGGGTGTGGTTGGTAATAATCTAATGAGCTCAGCTTTTTTTTTTTTTTGGGAAAAAAGTGTTAATTAGTTTTTGCTTAAAATACACCATCTTGATGACCTCCTCTTTCCTTCTTCTATCCCCTGGGTGAAGCCCCAATTTCTCATCCAAACTCGGCAGCAAGTCTCAGCCTGGTCACTGCTGTTATTGGAAAAGAACATGCAAAAAGTAATTTTTGTGCATTTACAGATTGTGATACATGTGAGTGGATTCCTGCAAGTTGAGAAGATGGGGCGGAGCAGAACCCACAGTGGCCCCCAAAGACCCGTGGGGTTCTGGCCCACAGCACCACTCACCATCCTCTGCCCCCAACTTCCAGCTCAGGAGGCTGCGGGCAAGGACCTCTGAAAGAGCAGGTGGAGGCCAGCCGGAGCGGCTGGGTGAGAGGCGGGGTCCTTCAGCCCTCAGACGGAAGGAAAGAGGTCCCTCCAGGTGAGCCCGTCCCCCCGCTTCTTGTCCAGCCACCTGCCACAGTTGAAGATGGTGGCCACCCCGGTGCTGGTGTTGGTGACTTCCACCTTCTCCACCAGCCAGCCCGAGCAGTAGCCGCTGCTGTCATGTTCCACCCGCACCTTGCGTAGCTCACCCAGCTCCAGGGTCTCCAGGAAGAAGCGGTCGGTGCTGCCCCGCTCAAAGAGGTTGCGCATTTTCTGCTTCAGCTCTCGCTTGCCGGTGTCCCCGTTGGCTCCAAAGATGGTCACGAAGACGTTGGCATCTGTACCTGCACCTGGTTCATAGCCCGTCGTCACGATGACCTCGTACTTGACTGGCACCAGGCTCTGTATCTTGCTGGCAAAACTCTCCGTTGTCTTGGTGACCTCAAAGACCCTGAAGTACTTCCTCTTCCTCTTGAGGGGGATGAGGGAGTCACAGTTAAAGAAGTACCTGGGGAGGGGATGGAGGAGGCTCAGGGGACAGCAGCCCAGGCTCAGGCCCTCCTGGGGCCCCTGGGCAGGCATGAATGAGTCTTTCCCCGGGCAACAGGATATTGGGGTGAAAAAGTCTATATTCAAATGTGAAGTTGCAGTCTTACTGATCTTAAACTTCACAGTGAACAGCCTCTCCATCCTCCCAGTTACTCCTTGTTTCTTCTTTTATTTTTCCCCTCTCACTCTCTATGGAATACACCAGCACATCTTATTGACCTTATCTTTAAAATGAACCCAGAATCAATCGGCTTGAAAAATACGCAGTATTGTGCTAACTGCTCTTCTGCCTCTCTGGTTCAAGGCCACGTCCTCTTCTACTTGGAATATATCAGCTTCCTAGTGGGTTTCTCTGCTTCCTGTTCCCTACACTCAATCTCTGCAGAGCAGCCAAGTGTTCCTGCAGAAATGTAAGCCCGGGAATGTCCTTCCTCTGCTTAGAATCCTCCAAAGGCTTCCCAGCGTAAGTGAAAGCCACCTCCTTACAAAGACCTGCAAGACCCTACCTGATCTGACCCTCCTACCAGGGCTTGCCCTCTGTGCTTCTCATTTAGGGGAGCTTAGTTCACTTAGGGGAACACCAGCCATGCTAGATTGCCTTCTTCCTCAAAGGGGTTGATGAGTGATTCACCTGGAGTTGTCATCTTCAGAGACAGCTGCAGGATCCAGAGTGACAACCCAGACAAAGTCAAGTGGAAGCATGACTGCAAAATATGTGCTCCCTATGTGAGAACCTCAACTCTCACGTGGCTCTGTTGAGCTCTGTGTGTGTATACAAATGTGTGTGTGTGCATAACCTTGTGGCTGTGCTCACCTGCTCATGAGCTGCAGACTACAAGGAGAAAGGGAAAGCCCTCTACTGAAGAAGTCACTATCTGAGAAGCAAGCTCAGGACCAGAAAGTCCCTCCCTAGTCCTCCCCTTACCCCCGCCCCCAATCCTTAGTTTAGCCCCCAGGAATGGCAGTGAGTCCAGTAATTACCAAGGAGGACAAGTTGTGGGAACACTGCATCTGGTATAAAGGTGCTTGGGGGCCTGACCCCACCGCCCACCAATGTGACCATGGGCAAGTCACAGCTTCTGCTGACTTTGATTTTCCCACTGGTAGTGCTAGAAGTTTGGGCTGCAAACCTGTTATTTCTTCCCTCTCCCAATTGGGCTAGAAGCTTTGGAAATCAGTGGTCCTGGCACTGGCTAATGACTTGAGGAAGGTAGGTCCAAAAGGCTGTGCCAGTTGTGTAACGTCAAACCCAATGTTAGACAAGAACCCAGAACAACGAAGAGAAATTACTTTCCTGCATGCCTCCGAATGCCAGTGCCTGACATTCTGACTTCCACAATCACTCCAAATTATAGGCAACCCCCGCCCCCATGAACAGAAAGGCAAACTAAGTAATTGACCAAGCTGACCCTAAGTCAGATTCACAAGCTGCCTGGGCTCCCCCTGCCCCCCAAACCATTTACTTTCATTGCAAGACAATCTGTTTGGAGTACTCTCTTCCTCCAATCTATCACATGAAAAATCTGGATAGTTGTGAACATACACTTTCTTCAAGGGAGACATACTTGCATTCTTTGTTTTAAAGCCTGATAAAATGTATTCCAATGCCCACTCATAGACATAAAGCTGTGTCTGTGCACAAGCCATGTGATCGGGGCATGTTTTTCTAAATGCCTGTGTTCTCTTTTCCCTTTGCTTGGGCTGTCTCCTTTCTTCCTACCTTCTTTGACTCCAGCATCCCACCTTCACCTCACATAACCCATGCAACAGCTTGAGTGGGTCTTGCCAACATCCCCCCGACAACATCCCCCCAGCCTTGCGCATCCCCACACAGGCGTGGACATATGTGGGATGTCAGTGTTCCCTTTCCAGAACGGCATCATCAAGTATGAGCTTTCCCTTCTCTTGCTTTTCTCGCACAACAGTACTTCCTGGGACTTGCTCCAAGTCATCTGGTACCTATTTAATTCATTATTTTTAATGGTTGAAAAATACTCCCTAGTGTAGCTATAAGGAAATGTTTTCTAATAGACATAATCACAAGAGCACCAAACTGTGAGACCTCGGGCTTTGTGAAGTCAGCTTTGGTGGTGGAAGGGCACTGTTCCTGGTGGAAACAGGGAGAAGGCAGCAGCAGGGCAAAAGTGAAAGCAGAGAACAGCAAACAAAAAGAAATGATGCCAAACACATGAATGGGATGGTACTCTGAACGGCGTGGGCGGAGGGTGGGGTCGTGGGCTGTGGTGGCG